AAGTTTTCGTGTCGAGAGACAGCTGTTTTACTAACTTTTGGAGAATTTCAAAAGGCGAAAAGCTCCTTGAAATAAAGAAGAACATCAGGTGAGTGTTCGTTTAATTTTTTTTAGTATTTTGAATGATATAATTTTCCATGCGTACATTTTTTTTCGTCCGAAGGAGTGACACACAGTCACACACTAAAGTATAAACATATTGAAATATACTGATTAAGTTTGATTTTAGTGATTTAGAATTAACCTTGTGATAGAATAAATTTCTCAAATGTAAACGTATTTATTCCTAGGTCTCCAACACATATTGGAAAATATGAACAATAGTTTCAGATACCAGTAAACTACTAAACTCGCATAGTGGATGGTTATGTCACAATTGTCACTTATATGTGTAGTAGCTTGAAGATACAATAATAAAAAATACCCTAATAATCTATTTCAAGAAACAACACAAGAAAGAAAGAGAAAGTCAAACTATTTTCATTTATTTCAAGAGCATGCAACCGCCCTCTCTATTTTAACAATGAATTCCTTGTGTGGTTGGTACAAAATATGGGACATGTAGGACAATTGGTGGAACAATCATGGGACAATTTATTCCAAAATTATGCAGCTGTACATGTAGTGTGATATATGTGTACATATAGCTGTACATTGTTAAAATATTATATCAATAATTTCAATAAATAGTGTACTTCACTTATACTGTAATAATTAGGAGGAAGTCTAAATACTTACGAATACTATATAATTATAATACTCATCTTTGTGAATACAGAGAAAATTTGATTGGAAACACCTGCATTGTTTTTTTATGGTTAAACACAAGGAAATGTGATGTAATACATAATCCTAGCACATTTCTTTCAAGTGAAAAAACCTAACAAAGCCACCTTAACTACATTGGCAACTACCAAAGTTATTGTGCCACTAGTTATTGTTTTCACAGCAACCCCTTATAAATATAATTGCCTAGGTACTTCCATTGTATCAATAATATTGTTAATACAGGTGCCACTTCATTTGGTATACTAATGCCTAAAGTAAATATACAACATATGGTTGATTTTAAAAATGTCAAAAAACGACCACGGACCTACCACCCAAATTTGAACAAATTGTATTTTTTTGCACACTACAATAACTGGGGCTGATCATAAAATATAAATTAGTTTGATCGGAAACAATTCTGCACTGAATTTTAATGGCTAAACTTAAGGTTCGCATAAAGTCCCTTTTAGACAAAAAGGACCTAAATAAAAACCTATGGATTTTTTAGATGAAAATTGTTTATTCAGTAAATTAATTGCTTTGGATTTGGTAATATGAACTAAGGAAGGTGTCTATGTAGCTCAAAGTATAACGCCTTCCAATGAAATTTGTCATTTTCCAAACTTTAAAATTCCGCCAAAATTAGCCAAATTTTGCTAAATTCTGCGGAATTTTGATTTTTTTCCGCAAAAATATCTTTAAATTGCTAAATTCAGCGGACTTCACTGTGAGTTTCATTATAAAAGTCATTTTCTTGCGGATATATGTTAAAATTTCGTTGGTGAAAAAGCCTATTTCTCGCGGAGTAAGAAAAATATGGCCTCGTTTTTACTGTTTTTCGAAAATACTAGCGGAGTGAACCAACTATGGCTCCAAAATCAATAAAAAGCGAGAAAATCTGAGGAAAAGTTAATACTTACCAAAAACATACTTATCAGTAGAATTTTTACAAACACACAAGGGTGTCCGAATTTCGGAAACCCCTATATCTCAATGTGAGAGACATATAAGGGTGTCCGAATTTCGGAAACCCTTATATCTCAATGTGAGAGACATATAAGGGTGTCCGAAATTCGGAAAGCCCTATATCTCAATGTGAGAGACGTATAAGGGTGTCCGAATTTCGGAAACCCCTATATCTCAATGCGAGAAACATATAGGGGTGTCCGAATTTCGGAAACCCTTATATCTCAATGCGAGAGACATATAAGGGTGTCCGAATTTCGGAAACCCCTATATCTCAATGCGAGAGACATATAAGGGTGTCCGAATTTCGGAAACCCCTATATCTCAATGTGAGAGACATATAAGGGTGTCCGAATTTCGGAAACACTTATATCTCAATGCGAGAGACATATAAGGGTGTCCGAATTTCGGAAACCCCTATATCTCTATGTGAGAGACATATAAGGGTGTCCGAATTTCGGAAACCCCTATATCTCAATGCGAGAGACATATAAGGGTGTCCGAATTTCGGAAACCCCTATATCTCAATGTGAGAGACATATAAGGGTGTCCGAATTTCGGAAACCCTTGATCTCAATGTGAGAGACATATAAGGGTGTCCGAATTTCGGAAACCACTAGCTATATCTCAATGTGAGAGACATATAGGGGTGTCCGAGTAACGTAGCTAGTGCACTGTATCTACAATGGGTTAATGGGTTATTATAAAAACTCAAAACACTTAACAATGCAGTCCATACTTAGGTAGTGTTTATTATTCATATCAGTGATAATTCCTGAAGATAAATGAGTCAATGTTGGCATACATTTTAGTTAGCATGCGATAATGATATTGAGGGTAATATTCTCCAATGCTTCTGCACTTAAAAATTTAGCATCTTGCGTCTGTATAATTATAGGTACAAGCGTAGAAAATATATTTTTATAAATTAATCCAGACCCTTAGCCCTTTTAGCTTCCTCCCGATACCACCGTTTTAAATATTTTCTGGTATTTTCTTGGAGATGGTTGTTATCGTCAAGTTAGAACGAGCAGAGAATTACTGAATCTTTTGGAAGAGTGTCTGTCCAAAGTATTACATTACCAACATTACCAATAACCGGTCTCTTTTTGTAATTACTAATATACACTGCAACCAACACGCCAGGACAAAGCGACTGAGGATAGTTGTCATCATGTCGGATTCCTCTGGCAGCAGGTGGTTGATATGGCCCAGCGTAAATCTAAAGAGAACAAAATTTATGTTACACTTTTGAATAGCATATTGCTAGCCAGTATTCTGAAATTGAATTTTCTTTTAAAATCCATAGGACAAAGCAGGGAAAATTGAATATCAAACCCTACAGTAAGCTTAAACAATAAGACAGAGTGTTTGTTGTAGGTTTGTCCAAAGGCTCATATAACGTATCTCCATATAATTTTGTAGTACCTCTCTCGAGCTAATTCCTCGGAATAATTTTTTTACTGAAATATGCGCAAAGAAAATATCTTAGTCCTATTGAAAATTTTTTTGAGAGTTTTAAAATATTACTAAAAGTTTAGTTTGTCGCGACTGATAGCGTATAAATTATCCGTTTTGCCATTTTAATGAATTTTGGCATTTTGATTTGAATTAAAGATTTTATGTTTATCATGGTGTCCCTGAACTACATGCATTTATCCGCACCCATTATATGTATAAAGTATCCAGTTCTGGGTTTAATCATATAGTGTTCAATATGACGTGTTTTTCCGGTGCAGGTTTGCCAGCGCCTCAATGTTTGACGTCAATCAATCTTAGCTGTTGTTGGTGACACATTTTAGCTTTGTAGCTATGTATTGGCGGAAAATCTGCATGTCATCATCGAATTGCAAGTTGACATTAGCAGTGCTTAGATATATACAGCCCTAATCGTTTTATTTTACTTTAAAAATCTAAGCGCGCTTCGCCCGTAATGGAAAAACGCCTTATCCTAAAATCGAAAGTGTCCATTCTCATTTACATGGGTATGGTGTTCCATTTATCCCCACGTGTCTTTAAAATAATTAATTCAATTAAATGAGTATTTTTGTATGAAGTTGCGTGCCAATATAACGAGGGAGCAGCGCGGCAGCGACTTCAAACAACTTAGCATTAAATGTGGTATTTTAGGCAGTTGTTATACCACATTTGATGCTGTTGTTTGAAGATAGGTATATACATGATATGTTGTTATACAGTGTGTATAAAAAAAACTAAAGATTCAAAGGGTCTTAATTTCGAGCGGAATTATACAAACTTCGAATTCAAGCCAGGAACAGTTGATGGAAAAATCAGTCAACTATTGACTATTCCTGCTGGAGGATCTATAGTTCTCCGGCAGGAATCGCGATGCCGGTGCAATGCGCAGTGGCTTGAATTTCAAGTGTGTATATTTCCACTCGAAATAAAGACCCTTAATTCGAACCTTTAGAATTTACCTGCATCGAGTGAAGTGCCAAAAATCATAAAAAACGCTTAATATTCACTTAAATATATTATGAATATATTGGTGATTGCGTTTTTTTTACAGCCTGTAATTCATTGGTTTATATATTTAACAATCTTTACGCCTTGCAGGTCTTGGGGAAAAAATTATAATCTAACATATTGATTGACACACAAACAAGCGCCGGGAATAATGTAACTGTAAATCCTCAGTGACCAAATATTTTAATCGTTGCGCGCACGCAAAGTCGGCTTAGTATATGAAAATTTGCAGAATGGTGTCTCAGGATACAGAAGTATTATTATCGTGTTTATATAATAAAATAACTTGCAAAATATCATAAAAATTTATCGCTTACCACTGCTATCGGTTGAATCGTATTGTAAAACTCTCTTGACTTTTTTGGGCTCCTACTTAATACATATGCTGACGGCGTATCGTGAGGCAAAAGATTGCACGAAAGATCTAAAATCAAATAACAAAATTTGCATTCTTATTTCACATAATAGAGCACAAATTAAGAAATCGCTCTGAAACCTGAAACCAATTTTAGCAATCGCCAATGCCTTTTCTATTTAGCTTAGTTTCATATAAGATTGGTAATAATTAGGAACTTACGTTCAGAAGAATTTGAATCAGGAAAGGATCCATTTGCGTCGCTACTTAACCCAACAGAAAATGGTGAAGAAAATTCTTCGCGCAGATCTGTACTAGTTGAGATTGATGAAGGAGAAGCCTCAAGTGAGTTTGAAACTGCATACATAAGATAGGGAAAAAACAAATTAAAAATATATGTATAATTATATGGCATTATTAATTCATGATGCTCTTACTTTTTGCCTCTGAATGTATGAGAGGAGATGATTTTTCACTGTCACTAAATCTTATATCAAAACCGGGTGAGCTGCTGGTGGCTGACGCCGGTCCTTCTTATTCGTAGATAACAAAGACATTAAAGACAATGCTGGTGATATTGGTTCAGGTGAGCTTGAAAACCCCATTTCGAAAACAGAGGAATCGTCATCTTCTTTATCTGGTGAGGACAACATTGTGCTCAAATTTGATCACTTCTCGCAAAAATATATATAAACAATAATTAATGTTTAGCTGTTGAGCATATTCAATACATATATATCAGTAAATTGTGCCGAAGCTCGAAGGTGATTCCTTGTTGCCTGACAACCTGTTTTATTTTACAATAGTCCACCGATTGGATTAGGATATTCCCATCAATTAACTCTCTGACAACGGAAAAAAACTTTTCTTTGTTATTGGTTGAGTTTACCGCTTTGACCAGGTGTAATGTTCATATGATATACTTCGCATGTGCGCTCTTCCCACATTCAACATATTGAGCTTCAATTGTCAATGCCAGTAGTTTTGAGAGAGAGTTTTTATATATAGATATGCCACAAATGAAAAAGTGGTCGGTTCGCGTAAGGCAAGGAAAGGCTTATGTATATGTTGCTGGAAAGCCCCTAGCAAAGACAGGCGTCGAGTATCATCAGTGCTGCCGCCGTGAAAAGTGAGGATAATAAGCCTCTTAAGGTATGTATTAAGTTTTTAGCTAGCTTTAGGCTTCTCGGATTTATAGTAGGTAGAAAGAAAAAAACCTCCTCTTTAAGAGCAAAGCTATAAGTAGGAACAAAAATATAGCATATGTAAAGGCCTTATTTAAAGGCTATGCATGCATATGTATAATATATAGTTATATATGTGTGATCAAATTGCTTGACACTGTCGTTATCTATATTTGGTTACCGCTGAAATTCCATTTTCGCGCTGCGTTTTCATTTTGTTTCATTGCATGGCGCTTCGTATGATCCCTGTTTGCCCGAGAAAAAACGAAGTAGGCATGTCATTATTATTTATAGGGATTGAATACGAGTAAAATTTTAATCTCGAATGCAGCTGAATGTATGATGTATGTGATCAATGTATATAAACACTCTCCTTATTATACAAGACCCTTGTCCCGGCGAGACTGTTTTGATATCAATAAAGTACTATATATAAATTAATAAATGCCTTTTATAGCCTTGCGCTTAAGCGATATGCATACAGGCAATGCGTGAATCCCACTGATGAAAACACAAATTTAGGTTTTTGTGGGAAAAAGGGGAACGTCATGAGTAACTTATTGGAACGTTTTTGTAAATTAAGGGGCGTAAAAAATAAAAATAAACAGATGATAGTTAGTAATTTTCAAGGCAACCGCCAACCATGTGGTGTGTGTTCCTGCATGACTGTTCCAGTTTGTGGAGTATATATCCACAATCAGGCGTGATTTTTGGCACTTCACTTGATGCACGCAAATTTAGGGGTTTCGATGCACGTAAAAGCGTAGGTTCGATTCCTGCCGGGGAACTATAGTTGACTCATTTTGCTTTAATTTGAATTTGAAGTGTGTATAATTCCACTCGCAATTTCCTGTTATGTTGACAAACACAAGCAGAGCGGCTGGCCTCCTTCTGTCCAAACAATGCAGAAAATGTTACTGTGTACGCAATTCATGTAGCAGAATACTGTAGCTAGTGGTTAATCGTTGTCCTTTTTCACTCTGTAGGGAATATATTACCAGGCATGAACGAGGCTGTTGAAGCATTTGTTGTCCTCCATGCTTCGGTATCTGGGCGAATTCTGCCAGAACACTTCAACTTCGCGTTTGGCAAGGTCCCAAACTTCATTTGTGTCAATTCGGCAAAACAGAGAATTTGAGACATGTTTGCGGCTGGTAGAAATGTTCAGTCACTCGGGTGACTGGATATTAGAATCAAAGTCGCAGTTCGGACAAGAAAACCTGTCCGCCTCATCAAATACCATAAGAGACCCCCCTTCAGAGGTATGAACACCAGCTGTACGAATAACTTGTTCATAGTCACATGTTTGGCATTTTCTGACAAAGTTTTCCCCTTCTCCATACTTGCTCACTAAACTTTCAACTAACAAAAGAATCAATAAGTTTTAACTAACAAAGAATATATTTTTAGTTAAATTTTGCACCAACCATACCACCAATAATGGAGTACAAGAACTTCTCTAAACTTTAAAGGTGTCAAGAATAAGGAGAGAAGTCTTTAATAAAATCTAATTATACACCAAATAATGTTTCTTCGTTTTATGAACCTAATTTTGTCCAACATATATATAAATGTAAAACATACCTACGCCATCATTATCTCTGCCCGATCCATTGTATCTACTATAGCAACTGGTGTGACATTGTGTTTGTTACACATGAAATTGTCAATTTGATCAAAATATTTCCACTTCCTTCCTTTGCTATTTCCAGACTTCCTTCTTTTCTTCTCTTTATACTTCTGTCTCAACTTTTTCATTTTATTAACAATCTGTTCAAGTGTCAGATCTTTGTAACCAACTCTCTCTGCATTGCACCTATATTTTTATAATATATCTATTTATATATGTAAATGTTATCCACAGGCTAGTTTAGGGTTGTGTATGAAACAGACAGGGCCGTAGCTAAACCGCTTAATTGGGGGGGGGTGTATATTCATATATTTATGTTTATATACCATAGGAACAATAGCATACAAAAGAAATTATTCGGGCATAATACGAATATATGAATATGCACCCCCCCCCCAATCCTCCGTAATAAAAAAGATGGCGCCGCGCGTTGCATTTTGGTAAAATCGACAAATTGAATTTATACTTAGCTCATGAATTAGCGCGAAACATAAATAAACATGGCGAACAGTAGTGTGAAGTTGACCGAAGAAGATATTCCCGGAGCTAAGCTTACCAAAATGCAACGCGCGGCGCCATCTTTTTTATTACGGTGGATTAGGCTTCTAGCTACGGCCTTTGAAACAGAATTAACACAGTAACATATAAAAGCATGTATAAAAAATAATATTAAATATTCATAAGATTGATATTAAATATTCATAAGATTGAGTTGTGACCTCTGCGGTGTTTGTGAATATGAAATCTGACATGTCATTTTATTATTTAAATCAAAATTATATAAATCAGCTTACCAGTATATTTCGATACACTCGATTAGTGTCTCTGGTACATTTCGCGCTATCTAATGCGATTTGAATTGTTTCTTCTGACCAGAAAGTCAGAAGAACTTTTGTTTCATTTTCGGACCAAACCTTCCCTCGTGTCTTCGACGCCATGTTCTTTACTCTTGCCGCGAAAAATAATTTATTTCCACATATTAAAATACTATAAATTTGCTGAAATAGCTGCTTTTTCGGCACGGTGCCGCTGCTTATACGGGCCAGACTATCTATTTGAGCAGTCTCGACCCGTTTAAAATTATAGGCACGGGTACTGTTAATTTTGCGTTTACACGACAAAAATTAGAGGGGCCGGCCCAATTTTAAGCGGCCCGTGCCAAATATTCATGTCGTGTAAATGGGGCTAAAGTTCATAGCAAAAGGTATGTTGTTCCTATTTCAGGTGCTGAAAATCAATCTGCAACTTGCTGGAGGCTGGTGCACGTCAAAATTAGTTATGCATTAGTAAAGTGCTAAACTCTAACGTATACTTTGACATAACAAACACGGTGCGTCGGTCACCGTTTTTACGTTTTGCCTTGTACTAACTATTAAGGCCGACACAGACGGGACGCGACGCGGCAACGCGACGTGAATTTTGAGTTCTACTTCGTCATCAGCCTAAGTCGTTACGGAGTTGTACGACGTAGTACGAAGTTGTACGAGAGAGAGTATCACGCATGCGCATATAAACATATAAATTTCTTAGAGATTTATCCGGCGTACCTCCCATTAAAATCCTTCTTGCATAAAATTGTCGGAAAACATGTGAAGATTTTAATTGATAACACATGTGCTGTTTCAATTTTAAATAACAGTGGTACGTGTCACAGTATAAAGTGTAATGGTATTGCCACAAAAATTTGGGAATTATGTGAGAAAAATAATATGTGGTTGACAGCTGCTCATATCCCAGGAGCACATAATACTACGGCAGATTACGAGTCCAGAAACTTTAACTTAGATATAGAATGGATGTTAAATCCAAAAATTTTAACGCAGGCCCTGCAGGAAATATCATTTTCCCCTACCATTGATGTTTTTGCCTCACGATTGAACACACAATTTCCCCAGTACGTCTCGTATAAACCAGATCCGTTTGCTCTTCACATCGATGCGTTTATGATCCATTGGGCTGATATAAAGTTTTATTGTTTCCCGCCATTCAGTTGTATCCTCAAAGTTTTAAGGAAAATAATAAACGACCGAGCGAGAGGAATCATCGTGGTACCTTATTAGCCGATACAGTCGTGGTTCCCAATGCTAACAGCGATCCTGGAACAACAGCCGATGATTCTGAAACCATCAAAGAACCTGCTTGTGATGCCCTCAAATCAAGAGAAGACCCATCCGCTTCGCAAGACGTTACGCCTAGCTATATGTCTAGTATCCGGACAAAATTACAACTAGATGGTTTCTCCGCAGAGACAATTCAAATAATTTTGGGTTCATGGAGGCATGGAACTCTGGCGCAATACCAAGGGGTATACAAAAAATGGTCAGATTTCTGTAAAAGGAACAATTGTGATAGAGTCTGTCCCACATTACCCTTGACGTTGAAATTTCTTTCGGATTTAGTTAATGATAATTTGTCCTATAGCTATATTAACACAGCGAGAAGTGCACTATCATCGCTCATAATAATAAAAGGTACTGATGTTCCGTTTGGACAGCTGCCTGTAGTTAAGAGATTCATGAAGGGCGTCTTTAAAAAGAGACCAGCTTTACCAAAATACAGCGCTATTTGGAATGTTAATGTGGTATTTAATTTTATCAGAAAGCAAAAGTCAGTTAAAGACATTTCACTAAAGGACCTCACTCACAGATTAACGTTTTTATTATGTCTACTTAGTGGACAAAGATGCCAAACTATCCACAAGCTTTCAATACATGACATGTTTGTTAATGTGGACAAGGTGACGTTTACTATCACTGAAAAGTTAAAACACACAAGGCAAGGTGTTCACCAACAACCTTTGGTTTTTATGGCCTATAGATCAGATATAAACTTGTGCATTGTTACTCACATAAAACATTATTTGGAGAAGACCAGTGTCTTAAGACGGGAAGAGAAACAATTGCTGATAAGTTTCATAAAACCTTACAAGGTAGTATCGAAAGAGACTGTATCAAATTGGGTCAAGCACTTTTTGCAATCGGCCGGGATTGACGTTTCAGTGTACAAGAGCCATTCTACGAGGTCAGCAGCGACTTCTTATCTAGCATCGAAACAAGTTGACGTAAACGATATATTGGCTGCGGCTGGATGGAGTAAAGAAGAGACTTTTCAAAAGTTTCACAATCGTAACGTTACTGTACCGTTCAATTTTGGAAATGCCTTACTAGAGGCTAGTGTAAATAAGTAAATATTGTTGTGTTAATTGTTTTTATGTCGCCTCAGGGGTGACTTTTAATAATATTGGTTTATTAACAGCTCTGAAATCTCGTACAACTTCGTACTAAGTCGTACAGCTCCGTAACGACTTAGGCTGATGACGAAGTAGAATTGGAAATTAAAGGGTATTGGCAATAAATTTTTCTATTCTTGCTATCAGTTATATTCGACCTCCTGATCATGAATATGTGATTATTTTTTACCCAAACTGTTTTGTTCTCGAGTTATTTCATGATTAATATTCAATTCGTCCGCCATCTTGGACCGATTTTCAAAAAAATTCTCTTTCGGTAACTTGACCCTTGTGACGTCAGGTGCAGGGAAGATCAAAACAACAAATATATTTTATACGCGCAAATCGCGATGTCGTAGTTCTTGTAAGGGATTTCGCGCTTTTCAATCACTTAAATGAAAAATAACCATGATAAACAAGTAGAAGAGGTATTGCCCTATCAATTTGAAACCGAACCAGGTTTGAAGCGAATCATTGCGTAGAGTGACTCAGATGATAGTCAATCGTCTGATGAGGAAGTCGACCATGCATTTTAGGCTAAAGATGCTTGTGTTTGGAGAATCTGAATGCTATTGAATCATTACGTTGGCACGAAAAAACGTTGGAATACGATTTTCGGTAAACCGTATCCGTGATGATTGGTTCTTGCTAAAGACTTGCAACATTTGATGATCATGAAACTGCATGTTAATAGCAACAATCAACTTGAAAGAGTTAGTTACAAGATCTAAATCTTTTAGTCTTACAATTACGAAAACGTGATTTGGAAAAGGTCATATTGATGAAATTTATAAACAGTTTTACTGGTGATATCCTGAATTAGTGCTCTAACGCAAATAGGAATAAAGATATATAAGATACAGCTAGCAGCTAGAGTGCATCAAGTGTCAATTGAGCCACATTTTCCCCATTTTACTCCGTCTAGGATGGCATCGTTGAGCGATAAACTGCAAAAACTACAAAATAGTGCTGCATGGCCATGGGTTATAACAATCTCATCTAACTCTGTTCAGTTTTGCTTATTGTGGAACAGTTTGCCTGAATCTTTAAAATTATCTTCATTGCTTTCTATTTAGCGTTAGTTTTGACTCCCACACAGCAACCTGATAGATGCCTCATATGAGTCATGTTCTTTGCATGTTTACATAGGGCCAAGTATCCAGTTGTATAACTTAATTTGTAGCGTATATACTGAAAAATGCTGTCCCTACAAGATGCACAAACAATAAACTTTCAGACAGACTAGTAGAGTACCAAAATAATAAATTTGTATGTTTGTTGCGCATTAAATGACAACATGAACAAGCCCTGTGGAGGCTAATATTGTCATCTGATCTGGGTTGACCAAGTTGAGAATGTTGACACTTTAAATATATGTAGCTGATAATTATGCTAATGTTCCTTGATGATGCCGGCTAAAATTTCGACTTCAATTCGACACTAGCGAAATAAATAGACGTTTAGTGAATAGTGAGAAAATATACATTGGTTGCCTGATCGTCGTGTGCGTAGAGATCAGTATACGAAATGTACAAATTAGACGAGCCGGCGTAATTGACATAGTAAAAGTAATAATGATAATCAGCACTTTTACGACGGCGAAATAAACGTGTTTATTTTAAATTTACCATTAATACGTAGAGTAAGGTAGTAGCGCTTAGTTTTTTATCCAATTGAAAAAAAAAATTGGTTTATCTGTTGTTTCTGGTCAAAGTCATCTTAGAATGCGCTTGCACGCATACTATTGTAAATCTGCTCCCCTGCACCTGACGTCACAAATTTATTTTCGCATATATTAGCATATGAGTTTTTTTTCAAGATGGCGGATGGCTGTCAAATGCTTTCGGATATATCTGAGCAAATAAACGCACTGGACAAGTAAAAATAGGAAATTAAGTATTCCATAGATATGCTTAATTGATCGCAAGAATAAAAAAATTTATTGCCAATACCCTTTAAACGAGACTTACCTGAAGTCGAAGTTTGATTGTAATTCTACGAGTCATCAGCCAGGAGTGGAGGAGTTGTACACCCACCCAATCCCAAAACATTTCCCTGCTCCTCCGCATGTTAATAAAACAATATTAATGCTCTGAAGACTGACCTGCGCATGCGTGATACTCTCTCTCGTACAACTTCGTACTACGTCGTACAACTCCTCCACTCCTGGCTGATAACTCGTAGAATTACAATCAAACTTCGACTTCAGGTAAGTCTCGTTTAATTTCCAATTTTCAGAAGCATATAAATTAAATTCTGGAAGCAAAATTTGGAAACTATGGACGCTGGAGCAGTCAAAATGTTTTATTATTATGTAATCTACAAGAATATTATGATAGTTTAAAATTTATTTGATTTTGAAAAATTAAAAACGTTGAAAATTCGCGCCGCGTTGCCAATTCACGTCCGGTATGTGTGGGCTTTTAGGCTGCGTTCAGAATGAGTGCTCGTCACCGGTACATGCGTTAAGTCAAAACTGGTTCATAAAACATGCTGAGCACAGTGCCCTTGTTAAATACTACCTCCATAAGTAGTGCCCTTTCAGAAAAAGTGACGACGGGCGCCATTTTTGAGCACTCAGTCTTAACGCAGACTAAACCTTTAACATGCATGCATCAAAGATTTATATTCAGTTATGTAAATGTCCAAACATATAAAACTTATTTATTGTGAGTCGGCCATAGATGTATGATAATTGCAAAAACAATTTCCCATTGTATTATGTTGTCTATATGTTTCCAACTATGCAATTATCCGCAAAGAACCTCTATCGCCTCTACGAGTATATTATTTGTCACATTTGGACATTTAATAATTAACAGATTACTTATAAGCGACGTGATTGAGTTTGAAAGTGTCCAAATATATAAATGTTCTATATTGGGATGAATTTGAAATTAGCATTTAGTATTTAGAAGCATTGGACGAAAGCAGTTCTGAAGTAACCGTTCCTGGTAGCCCGAGATATATAGCATAAGATTGTTGACAGGCACCACAGCACTTCCATCTTTCACTATTTTATACACGGTGACTGAAAAATATATTGTGCAGAATATATCAAATTTCAATGACTAAATCGTTACGTTATGTTGTGTTATCTATATCTAGCTACCATATATAAATGTAGTATGTGTCGATCATGAGTTAACTATTCTTATTGTTTTGAAGAATCTTTGTATAGAGCGCTCCATGTCATCAATAGCGTATCTGGATTGCAGTAAGCAAACGTTTTCTCGTTTCTGTTTTTGTTTTGTAGAAATGGATTCCAAACTTGGTGTTGCATTCCCAGGCGGTGGAATTCGGTCAGCGGCCTTCTGCCCGGGGGTTCTGCGCAAGCTCCTTAAAAAAGAAGCAGAACCTGATTATTTAAGCTGCGTGTCTGGCGGAGGTTACACTGGAAGTGCTTACGTCGAGTGGAAGTGCCGAAACGGAAATTCTACGGATTGGACTGAGAAATTCTTTGAGAATATGCGAAAACGAGCAGGATATTTTTGCAATTGGCAAAGTCGCTATTGTTGCTGTGACTCCATGATATTATGCTCTTTGCTTTTTTTTGTTTCAGTATTCGTTCCAATTGTTGGTTGGGGTTCTTTCGCTTTCCCAATTGCTTTCTTCATCAAACTTTTGTACGGGAAGTTTCTCGATGGTGCAAAATGTAGGCACGTGGCTGGCACCTCCGATTGTAATGAACCCGTCTTCCTTTTTTCCATCTCTTTGGTTGTTCTTGTTCTTTTCCATTTCCTTGAATATTTTTGCAAACATTGTGGCGAGAACAGAAGAAATTACTTAAAGATGAAGTGGGTGAGGGTGTTTCTTAAATTGGGCCAGTTGTTTGCTGGTGCTTCGTTCGCTTTCACTCTTCTGCCATGGTTTTTTCACGATTTCCTACGACATTTGCATTCTGTCATTCAGGTTGGGATAGTTTTTATGACTGTACTCTTCTGGTTTTTTGTTCCACTTTTGCTAAAATACTCTTCTCTGGTACTTTTGATTTATCATTACTCGTACGTCGTTTACTGGCATCTGTTCATGGGGAAGTTATTCCAATTCAAGTATACGAAAGAGAGATTTGAATTATGCCTGTATGCATCTTTGTGCATAATAGCAGTATTCTCAATTTTGGGAGATATTCCACTTCGCCTGGTTTACGTCTATAACAGGTGAGGAATCGTCTTTAGTTAACAATGATGCACTGAAGCAGAGGCGAATATTGGTGGTGATTTGCCGAACGGATGTTCACCAAGTTTAAGGTGGCGAACCACTGCTTTATTATTCTCTTCTGATCGAAAACTCTTTTGTTTTTGGTTTATTATCTAATTTTAATAAAACGATTTTTCACAATATATTGAAACACCCCGAACTAATTGTGATCATCGCATTATGCTCAAGGGCAGTTAACTGTCTGTAGAACAATTTCATTTCCCCATTTGAAAAACCGCACAAGTTAAAAGCAGGCCACAATTTTTACCTCAATTTGTAACCGTGATACAGCATAGAATTATGCATTAAGACTATAGCCCTAAGTTATTTTCCTTCCATTTCTTCATTTCAGGTGGAGATTGCAGAAAGCGTTTTATTACCACGAGGACAATGACAAATTCTGTACATGTGAAGAACAATGTTGCTATTGTTTTGATCTTTTTGCTGGAGGCCATTGTTCATCGTGTTGTTGTGCATCTTGCATGTGTCCACCAAAAGACAAACAAGGGGTTATAAACGACCAGCGAGCAGTGACATTGGGAGACTTAAAAGGAATAAAACCAGAGTATTTGAGCAATATGGTGGTGAATAGTTGGCGCCGAAAATACGATCAAAAATATTGTCTTCTCACCATGAGCTCTAAAGGTTAGTGGGATTTTCACTTGAGTGTTGAAAATTGATGTTTTGTGGAAGTAGGTATATAGACATGTCACTGCTACCAGCGTACAGCAATATCGTTCCTACTTCCTAAAGTTAGATTTAAAGCTGACGGTTCCCATTCTTTTAGGTATTTCTGTGATAGACCAACAACCGCGGACTGGTCAGGTTCGTCGATCTTGTCCTTCGTTGTATTCTGCGGTTACCATTCATCCACCACAACGTCACCAGAATCTCGAAGAATTCAGAGAAAGTTGTTTAGATGGCGAATATTTCAAAGGGAAGATGAAACCCAGCGATGTGAAATTATCCTCAGCCATGGCAATGTCTGCTGCGGCTGTTTCACCCAACCTTGGAAAGCATCAGGCAGAAGAGCACAGATTTACGCATATTTTAGCCTTGCTCAACATGGAGATGGCTGCACACCTTGTTTATAATATGACGGGCGAGAGAGAAAGCGGCGTGTGCCACCAGGTAAGATGTTGCCAATAATCAGTGCAAAAATACAATTTTCATCCAAACAAAATTTACATGATTTACGCGTTTTCTGCCCTTAAGGTCTGTTATACGATCCAACTTTCTTCGATCCAATTCACTTCTGATGGATGTTTTATAGTCTGTAATTGTCTTTTGATGTTTATTGGCGGCAAATGCGCTGAAGCCAATGCAGTACTGCTTTATCAATAACAGTGATTCAGAAGTGAATTGGATCCACTGACAAAATTTGATTGTTTGAACAGACCTTTAGATCATTCATATAAACAAAATTTGACATGATGAAACAACTCATTATGAAACAACTCATTATGAAACATTGGGTCTAACGATTTAATTGTTACAAATATAGCTACATAAAGTATATCACCCAGCCTGAAAATATACATGGCCATATTTCGTATACCATTTTTCACAAAGCAATAGTTAGTACTCGATATTACATATTACTATTAACAAGCATTTGCTTATAATCAGTGGCGTAGCCAGCCTGACGATTCTGTCCCGCTATGTAAATTACGAGTTATTATAATTATTCTTTTCTTTTGAAATTTATTGTTTTCACAGTCAGTGAACACCAAAATATTAGCATAGTGGGACAAATCGGCAGGCTGGCTACACTACTGCATTTAATATTATTTTACCTTTAAATTCCAGTCTTCGTAAAATTATAGACTAGACACCAAAATAAGAGTTGTAAACAAGTTTTTCCAAATTACAAGCGGTGATATGCCCCAAGATCAAGCGATTATCATAATAAATGTCTCTGCTAATTACTAATCAGTACATAGTTTACTTTTAGTTTCTGCTATATTTTGCAAACCTAACCGTGTCTCTGTTAATCGGTGGTGGAGGATTTGGAATATGGAAATTGCTGAAACCCTACATCCACGGCTTTCCTGTGTTAACTACAATTGGTATTATATCAGGAGTGTTCGGGCTACTACTAGTGATGTTGATCATCTATATTTGTTGCTTTAATCGCGTGAATGGCTATGATGGTTGCGATCTCTGTGATTGTCCTAATTCGTGTAGATGTGACGAGAATGTAAAGAAATTGACGTAAGTAAAATTGCAACCCCTCAAACCGTCTAGAACACAACTCAAATTCCATAAGACCATTTCTGAAACGCTTACATCTCTATCTTATGGTTACCTGTTTACATTACGTACTACATGACTTCTTTATAATGCAACCGTCTATATAACACGAGTATACCTCCTTTTAATGCACGAATTTATCATTTTTTTCTTAATTTGTCCGTCGTTCGTTCGTCTTTTTAACCGGAAACGTCTTCAAAATACGTACACTTAAATATAAAAATATAGAGGTTGAAAGCGTCTTAATTTTGTACATTTTGGAATTATACATACTTCAAATTCAAGTCAGGAACAGTTGATGGAAAAATTAGTCAACTATCGGTCCTCCGAAGGATAAATCTATAGAAGCTCTTACAAAACCAACCTAGCTTGATTATAAAATCTTTCATTATGTTTTCCTGATATGCTTTCTATATTCTTGCTTTGTATGCCTTTCTTCCATTTACTGTATTTTACTGGTGTCCTCTCAACACAAATGTGTCAAACACGATTTATATGATATTTCAGCCCAGCCAGATGGCTCACTGTACACCTGCCCATTTATCGTTTTCTTCTCTCCCTTGTACATTTCACCCCAGCCACCAGCGATGTTGCATCTCAGCGATGGCGGCCATTTTGAAAACTATGGTCTCTTACCCCTGTTAAAATTGCGACTGCCGAGAATTCTGGTCGCGGATGGTTCCTATATCAAGTCAGACGATGATTACGCCGAGGAAATCATAGAGATAATGAATCGCGCACGTGAGATATTAGGCTGTTCTTTCACTGCAATGGATGGAGGAGATGTGTTGGCTGATATAAGGAATAAATATGTCCACCCCAAGGATGGAATGTATCCAAGAATGTATGAATTCAAAGTTCGTTACTCCGATAAAGGTATAAGTATTTAGAGTGTTTTATAACCTGGCGCTTTATTATTTTCAGGCAATATTTAATATATAAGTATCCAAGTACACCGGGGGCGGAGTTCGTTGCTCTGATAAGGGTAGGGTGTTGAACAGGAGAAATTGAATATATAATTAGCTGAAGAATTTTTTTCATTTTTCCAAGGGGTATTGACATGAAAACATATGATAGAAATTAAATCTAAAATCTTTCAAATTAAAGCTTACTAGCTTATTATAATTTATGTTTTCTATAATTCTTATTCATATTTTAATGATTGTTGCTAATAGTTAATATAATTCTTTCCAGCAACTTTCATGGTGGCGACACCGTTCATCGAGTTTAAACTGAGATGCGGTTTAAATGAAAATGAAAATGAAATGAAATGAAATGAAGAAAACAATTAAAATTATTTGTAGTTTTACATGCGCACACGTTGAAATTTGTACATTCTTTTATATAGGTTTCCATGAGGTTCGTGAAGGCCACATTGTCTTAATTTCTCCGCGTTCTCAACCAGCAGAAGATTGCTTATGGAGTACAGCCAGTAAATCTATGGAGATGACAGAAATAGGTGGCCAAAGCTCCAGGGGTAATGCTCCGGTGACATGGGAAACCGTAGGTGAGAATCTTGACGAAAGAAAATGGGGTTCGGGACCCATTCTCAAAGAGGAAACAATCAACGGTATTTCTGGTTTCCCTGCTGGATTAGGCTGTTGTGATTGCAAGAGTCGTTGTTCCTGCTGTGATAGTTTCTTGGCCTTTCCTCGTCATACTACTGTGAATCAGTTTTTTACACCTCGTTTGTTCACTGTTTATCACAGAGAAGGTTACAGAGCGTGTATGGAATGCGATGATTTTCTAAAACCAGCTAGTAAAAGTTTCAAACAACCCAAATTAATGACACATGTGTAGTTTACTCACCAACATCAAGAACTGGTTATGTATGGGCGCGTCTGTTACATGCACAGAATGATTGAGATATCCAGCCTGGACAAATGTTTATTTTATTGCTTTCATCCAGGAAAACTACCGGAATTGAGTTATAACGAAAGGAAATTTCTAAAGAGTCATCTCTTTTTGGGACAACTTTTACTGTGAGATGTCATATGTGGCTCTAATAATAGCTTGTTATAATTCTATTCTAGAAACCTGGTCGTATAGAACTAGCTTCTAACTCCGTTTTAATTTTTACTAGTTAAAATTTAATGGCAGTGAACTCTCAAAATGCATGTCGATTCTTATTAGCCTCTAATTAATAGGTATAATTTAACTACTCTTTGTGGGTGTCTCAAAAAAAACTTTTGAAATCATTCATTGTTAAAATTTGAATGCCGTGTTCACGAGTTTTAGCCCGTGGGATTTAATGCAACTTATAAAATGCTAAATACAAAAAATTTGAAATTGTGAATATGATTGAATTTAAATTAGCCTTGTTATTGCTTCGAAAGAAGATGGTACAGCTGACCGCGGAACAACGAGTGTTTATTGTGATATTATCCCAACAGAGTGCTCAGGCATTCAAACTCTAACAATTACATTGTTATGGGTGATTTCAATAGTTTTCGGTTTTTTGAGACACCCTGTACAACCAGCCACAGGAGATTATGTATTCATGTCAAATAATGCTTATTCTTATCAACTATATAATTAGTCTGTACAGTATTATTCACTCCACTGTGTAGGCGGACAGTGTAGCATGCTCTTTATAAATACAATTGGAAGCTATTTAAAATTGATTATGATCAACTATAGTTGGGAAATACCGAGTTGATACAATATTGAAGAATCAGTTTGGGATTACTGGGTAATTGAGACAACACCTTCTTCGTGTAAAATCGCTTGATGAATGATTGCAATTATAGAAGCGAATTTTAAGCGAATTTTCTCTGTATGACAGGTGTGGTGTTTGAGAAAGAACATTTTAGCAGCATACTCTGGAATAGGCCGTGAACAAGTTCCACCTGACCAAGTCTCGAACGTTGAGAAATCCACACGTCGCATCAAAACCTTATTCGAACAACGTAAACGAAGTACGCCTCTATTTGAGTTTGAAAGACATCGTAGAAACGAAGCTATGCAATTTTGTCTGGAACAGGCAACATGCAAAGAACGTAATCTCAAACAACAACGTCAATGTACTAAAGTACGATTTTATTTCAGTACATAGTACTATATGCTCAATTACATGATATGCTATATAGTGACTAATCAAGAGGTATACACTGGTTTGCTGCCAGACGATAAACAAATGGAACGAGTGTCATCAAACTTGGAATTAAACATATAACGAGTTGTTGCAAAGAATGTCACACTTATACAGGATTTATGCCAGGGATTATATGGCGCGCCCATTGTAGCAATATTCAACACACAGATATTTTGTTTAATTCAACAAAAATTCAATATTTAAAGACTGAAATTCGATAATTAAATTCAATATTCAACTTAGCATTTCAACTTTCAACAAACCCATTCAACATTCAACCAAAAACATTCAACATTCAACAAACCCATTCAACATTCAACTAAAAACATTCAACGTTCAACGTTCAACAAACCCATTCAACATTCAACTAAAAACATTCAACATTCAACTAAAAACATTCAACATTCAACTAAAAACATTCAACATTCAACTAAAAACATTCAACGTTCAACAAAGCCATTCAACGTTCAACTAAAAACATTCAACGTTCAACTAAAAACATTCAACGTTCAACTAAAAACATTCAACGTTCAACTAAAAACATTCAACGTTCAACTAAAAACATTCAACCTTTAAAGTGTCAAACTGACTTTTGCCGGCTAGATTAATGGCACAACTGAGAATAATGGTTCAGCTGGAGTATTTCATCCCCAAATCCCAAAAGCGCGGCAAGGCACTTCACTTGTACGATTCATAAATATTCATGGCTGCTTCGAACACTACATTACCTGAAGAACATTTCGATCTTGATGAGAATTTTGTAGAATTGAACGAGTTTATTGTCGAGGAAGAACTGCCCTCATTTTTGCTGTCAGTTCTCGATAGAGCCGAGTGTTTTAATAGTAGCGACAGCCGAAATGTGAATGGGATTCAAACCCTTCTTGTTCTTCTTGATCAAACTATTAGTTTGCTAAGATTAATCGTCGAAGACGCTGATGCTGCTGATCAACAACAGTGGAGGTTAATCGCTGGTTGTTTTGAAACTATTGCGCAAAATTTTCAGCAACATACTCTCGAACTCTCTTTGAGACCAACAAACTTAACCTCACTGCAATGCAACGTTAGCCGATCAGGAGGACCCGGTAGGCCCTCATTCCTAATCCAGCAAGAAATGTTAGAAGATCTCTTAGAGCTTGGCTTCTCGAAGCAAAGAATTGCCAAACTATTAGGCGTCTCTAGATGGACTATTCAGAGAAGGATTCAAGAGTATGGACTACATAACCTGACATCATTTAGTGACTTATCTGATGCTGAAATAGATGAGAAAATTCTAGATTATATCAACCGTCATGGAAGGACGACCGGACAGGTTTTACTAATGGGTTATCATCATTCCCTTGGAATACATGTGCAGAGGAGACGAGTCCGTGCCAGTATAGCAAGAGTTGATCCTCGCAATGTTGCATTAAGATGGGGTGCTGCTGTTTACCGCAGACGCTACCACGTGCCATGGGCTAACTCACTGTGGCATTTAGATGGACATCACTCACTAATAAGGTGGGGCCTTGTCGTACATGGTTGTATTGATGGCTTTTCAAGAAGAATAATCTTTCTTCACTGCAGTGGAAACAATTTAGCGAGTACTGTCCTCCATTTGTTTCTTGATGCTATTGAAAGGATCAGAGGAGCTTGGCCTTCGCGCATCCGAGTAGACTATGGTGTGGAGAATGTTCTGGTTTGCGAAACCATGGTGGAAAAGTGGGGTGAAGGCAGAGGGAGTTTCATAGCAGGGCCATCGACGCATAATCAAAGAATCGAGCGTCTTTGGCGAGATGTGTTTCGCTGTGTGTGCCACTATTACTACTACATATTTTATGGTATGGAAGATTCAGGAATTCTTGACACAAGCAATTCTATTCACATGTTTGCATTGCATACAGTATTCATCCCCAGAATTAACCAAGCTCTTGATGAATACCTTGAAGCATTTAATGACCACAAGATAAGAACAGCACAGAACTGGTCACCATATCAAATGTGGGTAAACAACATGATGGACCCAGACAACCCTTTATCAAATGGGCAACCAGACAACATACCAGATAATATGCAGTTTTATGGGTATGATCCCAATGGACCATCCCCATTTGAAGATAGCAACAATAATGTTGTTGTGGAACCAGTAAGTGTCCCAAATGCGGATGAGATTCAAAGAGATATTCTACAAGTGATAGATCCATTGGCATCTTCAGAACAAATGGGTATTGATATATATGAGGAGGCTTTAGGTCTCTTATATAATTATGCACACATACATCAGTAAAGCTAAAAAAGTGTATTTATTGTTAATATTTTTTTTCTGAACCAACTGTAAAACTAAGAAATATAAGGTTGCCCATCACTCTGGACATCAAAAGACCTTTTCAGCTTGTATACAAATTAACCCATTTGAAATCACATGGTCTGAAATGGTTAAGTTTTATTAGCTATTCCATAGACACAACATCTGAAATGGGTTAATTTGCATGCAAGCTGAAATTGTCTAATAAGTAATATGCAGATTTAACATGCTGATTGGAATCAGAATAGTTTTTAGTGTTTGTTGCCAAACGTAAACCATTATTAAACTTCATGCATTGTATTCCAATGTGCATTATCTATTTCCCCTACTTGGCTAATGTGTAGTTGCACTGAAATCTCTAACTTACAAGCAACACAGAACAAAATTAGAATTTTGCTAGGAAGATAAAGGCTAGCGAAGAACTATTAAGATAATTGCAACAACTGTGTCAAGTGTCAACTTTATCAATATCACCAGTCAATAACAACTTGGTGTCTTTTAAAAAACAATAATTAAAAACTAGCAAATGCAATAGATCTTTGGTTTCTAATGCAGTACATATATAAGAACTAAAGTTTTGTTCCATATTTCAAAATACCAGATGTGTGTTAATCATTTGTCTTTATGTTTACTGTCTGCCAAAGTAGGCATTAGAAAATGCCATGTCGTACACCTCGAAGAGTTTTTCTTCCTCGAAGAGGTACATCATTTGTTGGGCATGGTAAATGTAGGACATTAGCACATGTATTGGATGTTGGAAGAAATGACCATGCAGATGATTCTGTGGCAGATGATGCTGTGGCAGCTGTAAATACAATACTTGGTTTTGTGAAGAAGCCAAGAGGTGGCTCTTCATCAGTTCCTGAAACAAACTGTAGAATGTGTTCAAGTGAGACATTACCCCTCTTCCCACCAGCTGCTTTCCGTGTATAGGTTGAAAATACTGTGTAGGTTTGGTTTTCAAAGTATCTTGCATTACTTCCCTCCTCTGAAAATACTGGTGTGAGAATGTGCATTAACTTTCTCCTGGTCAAGGTAACAGCATTTGAAGATCGAAATAGGTATAGAAGTACTGGCAAATTCTTTATGATTTCTGCTAAGCCCAGCTGATCAAATCCTTCTCGGAGCATGGTAACACATTTGGATTTTGGATGATCACAAATGAATAACTCTTGTAGTAATTCTTCAGGAAACCTAGGTATATTACCATTTTGCAAGATGCTGAGTGCCATTATAAGACCTACAATTTTGTAATCTTGAAATAGGTGTTCCTTAAGACCTTTATCAAAGTATTTATCCATTATTTCCCGAAGGGACAGTCTAAAGAATTCTCGTCTTGGACCTCCCGCATCCTGGGCATTTTCTCGATAAAAGGAGACCTCGAGTGTCAACCGAGGATTATCAATGCTTCTTATCTCTTCAAAGGCAGTAGCAAGGACATCATGACGGTTGATTAAGATAAAGTTTGTCTCACCGTCCAGAGTTTCGTCAGAAAATCCATTAAGTGGTCTTCCTGTAACAATATGCATTGAACAATAGCGAAGAATCTCAACAGGGTCACAGATATTATGTTCCTTGCAATAGGTATAACACTTGGTGGCAACATCAGAAATTTCCCTTTTTCTGTTATCAACTTGTGGGAATGGATTTATAACTTGTGGCAGTTCCATGACATGGTCTTGTGAAGATTTATTGGAACCTGATGCTGTGCTGTTTTGTAAATTTGATGATTGTTGCTGCAACACAGGATGACTGTTACTTGTTGTGGTAGCTGCCGAGAGTGTGACTGCAGTGCTCACAGATTCAACCAACTCTTTTTTTGGCTGAGATTCTTTAAAAAAAATAGTAATTAACATAATTACCAGGCAGACTTAGATATTATGCTGTATGAATCCACTATCAAGCGGCATACCACAATATGAAAACCTTCCAAAAGTGATGAATATGAGTGAGTATTATGGTCATTGCAAAACAACAATTTCAAACTCTATTTGGTGCCCATACATACTGAGCAAATACAAAGGCCATGTTACACCATGAAATTTTTCTTGCAACTTGCAATGCTATTCTACCTCTAAGAGATGTAAATTAGTGAAGAGTCTTGCAGAAGAAAAGTGCACAAAGTGTAATAAACATAAAAGTTTCGTTGTCTCCAAATATACATATCTCAAAAGTAGAATTGCATTGCAAGTTGCAAGAAAAATTGCACCGTGTAACAGGGCCTTTAGTGTTGGGTACATTTTTTCAAAATAAAAAAAAATATTTAGTTAATACATGTCTGGCCGGCTTAATTAGCGTACCTTCTTTTTCAAAATCAAATAAACTATCTTCAGGTGTTTCTTCAACAAATAAACACTCAAAACCATCTTTCATTTTTAGATATATACATCCTTGGCCAGCAAGTAGTTTGACCTGGTTAAAATTGTATTCATTGCAGCTGACAGGTTTTGTAATTCTGCGCCGATTAGCCCTCACGAACACGAAGTCATTCTCCGATACCAATGGAAATTTAAGTTGAATAGCTTTAGCTAGTTCCTTTCGTATATCCACCTCGCGCGCTGTCGTTGGTATTTCGACAAAACCACGTGTAGCGACCATACTTTCCGAAAATATTATTGTGTCTTGCTCTGGGATGTTGTCATCTTTTTCGTCCGAGTTTTCAGTTTGAAGCAAAACAAACTCAAAAGCTTTCTTTTCCAATCGAGGCCTTTTTGCTGCTGTTTCACGGGGTTTAGAACTCGTCGCTCTAAGCCGTTCTCTGCTATTTAATCGTGAACATAAACCCCTTGAGGATGACTCTCCGATCATCGAACGGGCACGTTCTACAGCAGAGCTTATCATAGTTGCCCGCGCTGATGGCTGACTCGCCGCTTCTCGTTGTCTTCCTTCTCGAGAAACTGGTTGTGTTGTTGTTCTCCCAGGTTGTTGTAATGGGGCGTCATTTTCCAATATGGTGTTGATTAAATTACTAGCATCGTTTAGGCATTTTGAAAGCTGTCGAAGATTCGACTTGTCGTCCATGTTTTCACATTTTTATTGCGATATTCGCGCCTTCGCGGGAAATTGCATTTAGCCTCGATTTCACACCGAACTTACCCTGTAAAGCCAGCCATGTGCTGTGACACAACCACTGACACAACCCTATCATATCTACTCTATGACCCGATGTCGATTGTCGAGTTCGTGTAGATTTCGGATAAAGTTGATAGTTAAAAGTTATTAGTGGCATTGATTAGTGTAATGAATAATAGTATGTATAGAATTGGCTTGTTGAATGTTGAATGGCTTTGTTGAACGTTGAATGTTTTTAGTTGAATGTTGAATGTTTTTAGTTGAATGTTGAATGTTTTTAGTTGAACGTTGAATGTTTTTAGTTGAATGTTGAATGGGTTTGTTGAACGTTGAATGTTTTTAGTTGAATGTTGAATGGGTTTGTTGAAAGTTGAATGCTTTTGGTTGAATGTTGAATGGGTTTGTTGAAAGTTGAAATGCTAAGTTGAATATTGAATTTAATTATCGAATTTCAGTCTTTAAATATTGAATTTTTGTTGAATTAAACAAAATATCTGTGTGTTGAATATTGCTGCAATGGGCGCGCCATAGGATTACCCGATCTAGTCAACTCGCTAGTCAATACCTGAAGAAACTCTCCTCGATTGCTTTATATTCCGATTTAATAACAACGATGTAGAAACCATACTACATGGAATAATAGTAACAACTATAAGAGCAGCTAAGCATGACATACAATGTAAATAAAAGATAGATACTTACTATACATAAGCTGATAGTTTTATGTGTCTAGTAATATCGTACTAACGATATTTACATGTCCGAAAGAGTTCAACACACAGTGGTTCAACACAACAAGCACAAATATCGCTGACCGAACTACTTGGTCAGCGGTGAGCTATGGCAAGTACTTCATGATACAACAATACCTTCAATGACTCGACTGTAACTTTACTGTCCTTTCTCGGAGACTGGAGTTCAAAATGGAACAAAGTTTGGTTTCAAACCGAAAGTGGCACTCGCAATACTGAGTACTCCTCGACAGGTCAGTCAGTTGCACTATTAAAATATCAAAATACATTCCCTTAATATCAACTGAATGTCTGAATCAACTTCAGTTGCAGCCGCATAATTGACATTGCGAAGTAATTGCGGCGAATATTTTGCTTGTGTGAGCAAACATATATAATAAACATGCATGCATTATCCAATTATTACATACTACCGTTACATTCGATATTCCTTCAATTGAACTGCATGGATGCAGGGTATTCAAATCCGGGGGCCGGAGCGCATACTCGCGGGGAGTCTAAACCGTTATGTATTCTACGGTATATACATCTACAGCCGGAATATATTTCACATTCACAATTGTTTGCTTTCCCGTATACTATAAGATATAAGCATATACAACAAACAACTTCGGACGATATACTTTATACTGAAAGATTGCGCAAGACAACGGGTGTTAAAAACACGGACTGGACTGGACTGGACTGGACTGGAATCACGAATTGGAATTGGAATTATTAATAATTCTTTGTATTTCACTTGGCATAATTCGTTGTTATGCGAAATCAGACATATGAAAAACAAGCTACAACAAATTACGACATGCAAATTACGACAGATTATGACTAATTATTTTATTATGAAAACCAACCGGGGACCAGACCTTAAAAAAGGGGGGCTCGTGAGCCCAGGTTAAAGGTATTTAATATTCATTTTTTGTAAACTTACGTTCTGATTGGTCGATTTGTACCACGTGAGTGAATTTTATATAGCAACAACGCCACGGCAGTGCGTTATAGGATTTATTGCACGATCAAAATGGCGGCAATAAACAAAAAATTTGCCGAACTTAGTTAAGAAGAAATTAATGTAATTATAGATAAATCCACACCGAAAAATACTAAACGGGCAACCGGTCAGGGTGTTTTAGTATTTAAAGGTATGCATGTGTTGTTTATTTAAGTTTTAAAATGTTATAAAGTCTTTACGAGTTTACTCAAAATGAATATTAAAAGCATTAAAGCACTCTTTGTTTGTGTATTATCGGGTTTTACATGCACTCGTTCACAAACAAGGAACTCGAAGTTCAATACTGCACTCGGCTTCGCCTCGTGCAGTATTGAACTTCTCGTTCCTTGTTTGTGAACTCGTGCATGTAAAACCCGATAATGCACTCACAAAGTGCTTTAATCCTTAAATATTATACCAGATTAATATAGTGGTTATATACATATTTTCTCGGAAAAGAGCTATATGCAGAGTTGGTGGCATTGGGGAGCCGCAGCTCACAAGACTTTCCCCTGGCTACGCACCCTGACCAGTCTAAAACACGAACTCTGTGTTTTACAGATTTTCAGTCCAGATCAGTTTAAAATTGTCGGTTGACCTTTGTAAAGGTCACACACAAGAATTTTACTGTCTCCATGCAGCAAAGACGTTCTAAGAAAACATTTTCAAGAAAATTCAGCGACCTAAGTACAAGTTTAGAACAGCAAACCAATTATAGCTACGTAAGTTGATAACTAAAGACTGCATTGTTGTAAATTTATCAGCAGGCCAGTTTCGTTTAAAATAACATTGACATCACTGTGGAGCGTGGTGTAGCGTGGTATCACAGAAACTATGCGGCTGTCGGATGATATTATATCATTAACATGCTGCATGCATGCATTAGTTTAATTAGTTTAACAAGAGTCTAATGTAAACCAACAACGCGATGAATCATTAGTTAATCCTCCTAACAATACACTTAATACCAATCAACCCGATCATGATGATAATTATCATAACAGCAGTATTCAAAGTGAGACCCGTCATGGTAAACAAGGTCGAGATATGAACATGCCCAGTTCTGATAAGAAAGTTACAGTAGTTGCAGGTGACTCAATCATAAAAAACTTGCAGGGATGGCGCCTATCAGACGTGAACAACCATGTTGTTGTTAAGAGCTTTGCAGGTGCCACAATTGAGGATATGGAGGACTACTTGAAACCAGTTATTCGCAAAGAACCTGAGACAATAATACTGCATGTTGGTACTAATGACTTAAAAAAACTATCATCTAAACAAGTAGCCGAGGGCATTTCAAATTTGGGTGTTCAGATTAAAGAAGAATCACCAAATACTAATATTGTGCTTTCCAGCATTACACTACGAACAGATAACCCGTATCTAACTGCTAAAGCAAACGATGCTAACAAATTGATAAACTCATTATGCACTAGGAATAAGTGGAAATTCATAAACCACTCGGCGATCAATTCTACCTGTTTAAACACTAGAGGCTTGCACCTGAATCGTAAAGGAACCTCTCTTATTGCCAAAAACATTAGCCAATTCATTGTTACTAATTAGGAATTTGCCACACGGGAGTCGGTGAATTCCAGTCCTACAAATCAATCTAATAATTATTCTCTTCAACAAACTTTAAGTAAGCGAGGTCTTGTGATAGCATGTCTAAATATTAATAGCTTAGTTGCGCATATTGATCAACTTAGGATCTTCCTCGACACTTATAAAATTGATATACTAGCAATCAATGAATCTAAATTGGATTACACAATAACTTCAAATCAGATTCATGTCCCAGGTTATGATATCGCCAGACGAGATCGTTCTATTAACGGCCGTCATGGTGGTGGAGTTTGTATTTACATCAAAAGTAATTTAAACTTCCGATTACGAGACGATTTACATAGTGAGAACCTAGAACTACTTGCGATTGAGATTCGTAAACCTCGTTCAAAGCCATTCTTGGTAGTAACTTGGTATAGACCTCCAAATTCCCCAACGACAGCTTTTACTGCTTTTCAAGATATAATGGATAAAATTGATGCTGATGGAAGTGAATTCTATTTATTAGGGGACTTCAACTGTGATGTCATGTCTGCGAACCCCGATTGCAATACCAAAAATCTTCTTAATATATGTAATATCTACAATCTATCCCAGATTATATCGAAGCCTACTAGAGTTACTAATACAACGGAATCACTTATCGATTTATGTCTTACTAACTATCCTGATAAGGTCAAAGACTCGGGGACTCATTCCCTGGGTATAAGTGATCATTCTCTCATCTATCTAATACGAAAATCTAATTGGCAAGCAGTTGGTGTAAATCATTCGGTAACTAAGAGGCAATTTAAAAATTTCAACGATGATGAATTTCTGAATGACTTACGCGAAATTAACTGGTCTGATATTCGCTCATTTGATAACCCTAATAATATGTGGATAGCTTGGCTTTCTAGATTCTCGGTTGTATTAGATATTCATGCACCAATTAAGACAAAAAGGCTTAGATGCAATAAATCGCAGTGGATTAACTCCACAGTAATTAGCAAAATACGTGAAAGGGATTCCTTAAAAAAACGATTTGATAAAAATCCCAATGACGTAATTTGGACTAAATATAAAAAATCTCGAAATGAAGTTACTAAGCTCATCAAGAACACTAAGCGCCAATATTTCATGGATCGTATTAACTCGGCTAAAAGTGATCCTAAAAAAACTTGGAAACTCATTAATGAGCTGTCTTCGCGCAAAGTTCACGACTCCACAAGTGTAAAATGTATTAGGCAAAAAGATGTAGAGATAACAAACTCTCACGATATAGCTAATGCATTTAATTCGTACTTTACCACGATAGGAGTAAGTCTTGCAAACGAAATACCTTCCTCTGATATAGATCCTATTTCTTATATCAATTCTACCAACAGTTCATTCTCCTTTACCGTTTTAAACGTGGAGACTGTAACTGAAACTCTTAAATCTATTAATTCTAACAAAGCAACCGGCCCGGATAATATTCCTGGTAGGGTTTTGAAGATTGCTTCTGATATTTTGTCTCCTTCTCTAACTGCCATCTTCAACCGCTCACTTAATATGGGAATCTACCCAGACGATTGGAAGATGGCTAGAGTGCTGCCTATTTTTAAAAGTGGCGAGAAAGATAATCTTAACAATTATCGACCGATTTCAATTATCTCTATAATTGCTAAGGTCTTTGGTAGACTCGTACATGATCAATTCTATAGTATATTTCAGCTAATAATTTAATTAATACTTATCAATCTGGTTTTAGACCATCACATAGCACTCTAACCTCCTTGCTAGAAACAACGAATGAGTGGTGTGTCAATATAGACAGGGTCTTCTTAATGGCGTAGTTTTTATCGATCTAAAGAAAGCCTTCGATACTATTGATCATGCAATTCTATGGAAAAACTATAGAGTCAATGGTGTTGACGATCTCGCGCTAGCGTGGTTTCGATCTTATTTAACTGATC